GACCCAGTATAGGATTCCTGAGGAGCAACTGGTGAGCTTGAACCGCCGACCTTGCAGTTCAGATGGCTTTGCAGTCTGGCGTATTAACCCACAGTGCCACACCAGGACTCCTTTAGTTGGGACAAAATACTCTGAAGATCATCCTGAAATCTAAACTCAGGAGTGTGTGCCTGAAGGAGTGTTGTACTGAAGAATCTGAGAAAATAAAGTAAACTGAGTAAGAAACTTTTTTTTTCCTGTTTTATTCTTTTACCTTCTTTTGTAAGTGGTAAGAAAGGTTTTAAAATTCTCTGTTAATACTTCCCATCACAAGTGAGTCAAAGTTGGGAACCAACATTTTAGTTTCTAGCTCTATTTTCTTTTTTCATAATTTCTTTATTAATTTTTTATTTTGGGGTAAACTCTGAAAACATAAAATGATGATTAAACTAAAGTGTATTAGCATCTCAAATTTATTTGGGAATGAAAGTTAGAAAATTCATAACAATTAAATACAGTTAACAGATTAATAGCCTAATGATTGATTGTGAATTCTCATTTGTTGTATTTTAGGCCTAAAGATTTTTCCCTTGTATATCTTTGCAAGATTTACCATTCTGTTTTAGAAGAAAGCCAATTGTAAATTTCCCACGTTATGATGTCACTTTAAGAATATCCACAGAACATTGTTGAAATTCTTGTAAATGCCTGTTAAAAGTTCATTAACTTTGTTGTTTTTGCCTTTTTCTCTAGACCACACTGGTGTGTAGAAGGGAAAAGCTATTCAGGGATTCCCTGTGAATTTCCTTTGGTGGAAATCAGTGTTGTCTATAAACAAAATAACTCTTGTTTTCTGCCTGCATGTCAGAACATTGAATCATTTCACTAAAATCATCTGGATAGGATGCTTTACTTTGAAAAGACTGAGATGATTAAGTGTTTTAAGCTCTTTAGCATTAGTTTTACAGCAATGTATATACAACTTTAGAATGGCTAAGAATTAAAGGAACCTGGTGGGATACTCTAAGCCAAATAAAAATAGAAATAATAATGTAAAAATATCTAAGAGAATATTAAACTTAATTGAAAATAATATGTAGAAGGATAGTGAAATTAAAGAGTAAAACACAGTCCCTGCCTACCAAATCA